TATGTGTCATTTTATATAAGAGACTCAAGCATTTATGGACATTGGTATCTTGAGGAGAGGGGGTTCTGGAAGAAATCCCCCGATACATACTGAGGAGACTGCCTGCTAAGCAAAGGAGCCTGAACTTAAAGTTATAAGTAAATTAAGTGGAAAGACATTGCTGCACTCAGTAGCAAGCTTCCAACACATGAAACCTTTGGGGACAACACACTCAGGCCATATCCAAACCATAACAAGTACCTAATTTTATGTGGTAGTTTTGCACTTATGAATGTACTATTTGGTTTGCACACTTTTGAGCTTTCTAAACAGGAATCATATCTAATCTATTTCTCTGCAACTTGTTTTATTAGCTCAAGGTCATGGTTCAGAAATTCATCCATATTGACAAACTTATGACTATAATTAATTCTATTTCATGAAATAATTCACTACAATTCATCTATTTCCCCAAAATGTACATTTGGATCSACTACTTCCAGTTCTTCTTATTGCAAACACCACAGCAAGGAACACCAGGGCTCATGGGCCCTGGTAGGATGAGGAGGTTCTCTAGAGTGTGTATCAGTGGATGAGTTCAGGAGGCCAATATCTGATATCTTCAGGGGATTTAGGTTTTGTTTTTGCCAAACTGGAAAGTATGAAATGATATCTTATGGTAGTTTTAAGATATATTTGCTTGATCATTAATGAAGTTGAATATCAAGCTTATTGGTTATTTCTGTTTCCTCGTCTATGAATTCCTTTTCAAATACTGTCATTTTTCTATTGAGTAATTTATCTATTATTATTATTATTAGCAGTACTGGGAATGGAACCCAGGGCTCTTCAGACACAAGGTAAGCACTCTACTACTGGCTACATCCCAGCCCCCAAAATCTCTTCATATGTTCTATATACTAATTATTTGTCACTTTGCAAATCATTTTAATTAATTAACTTGCCTTTTCACTTCCTGTATTGTGTTTGAATGAATAATCTTTYCCACCAGATCTGAAATGTTTGCTCTGTCATAAATCAAATTTCCATATATATGTAGTTATTTTCTAGATTCTATTCTGGTCTATTCATCTATTTGTCTGTCCTGGTGCCAATATAACCATGTCTTAATTATTATGTCTTTATATATCTGGTAGGTCATAACTTCCAATTTTGGTTATCAAATTTTTGCTAGCTTCATAAGTATGAATTAGAAAATATCCTGGGAAATAATGAAATTATTTGTGCCTTTGATGTTTRACAGAATTAATTTGTTAGATTATTGGTTTGGGTTTTTTTGTTTGTTTTTTAACAAATATATATATACACACATATACATATACATATATACACAAGGGTGGAGGGTTCCAGAGATTGAGCTCAGGGGCACTCCACCACTGAGCCCCATCCCCAGCCCTATTTCTTATTTTATTTAAAGACAGGGTCTCACTGAGTTGCTTAGCTCCTCACTTTTGCTGAGGCTGTCTTTGAACTTGTTATCCTCCTGCCTCAGCCTCCCGAGCCTCTGGGATTATAGCGTGCACCACGGTGCCCAACACTACTGATTTATTTTAACAGTTGTAATGGTATTAGCCTTTCTATTTCTTCATGAGTCAATTTTGTCATATATTTAGAAATTTGTCTGCTTTGCCCACATTTTCAAAATTATGACCATAAAGGTATGTAAAACATACTCTTACTATGATTTTCATCTCTGTAATATCTATGGTAATCTGCTTTTCCATTCCTAATATTGTTTATTTGTACAGTCTCTTTTTTCTTGATCAATCTTTTTTTTATTGATTGTTCAAAACATTACAGAGCTCATGATATATCATCTTTCATACATTTGACTCAATTGGGTTTTAAACTCCCTTTTTTACCCCAAATACAGATTGCAGAATCACATCTGTTACATACTCACATTTTTACATGATGGCATATTAGTGACTGTTGTATTCTGCTACCTTTCCTATCCCCTTCTTGATCAATCTTGTCATTGATTATTTCATTCATTTCTGCTCTTTTGTTTTCCTTCCTTCTTTCTTTGCTGTTTCTACTCCTGCTCTATTTTTTCAGTTTATGTTGTACACTTAGCAYATTAATTTCAGTCTTTCCACTTTAATATGAATATGTAGGATTATGTTTAATTCAGTACCACTCTTGCTGCATTTTACAAATGTTGATATCTAATTTTTTTTCTATTTATCTACAAATACATTTAATTTCTAATAAGTTTTCTTCTTTGATGCACGAATTATTTAAAAGTATGTTTTTTTTAACTTTCTAGATAAACTAAGAGTTTTTAGGTCATTTTGTAACTMCCTTCCAACTTAATTGCACTAGACTTAGAGGACATGATCTATATAAAACACATCCTTTGAAATGTGTTGGCCCAATATGTAGTCATTTTGAACATTTTGTGTGTTCTTAAAAAGAATGTGAATTCTATGGGCTGGGGTTGGCTCAAATGGTAGAATGCTCACCTAGCACATGGGAGGCACTGGGTTCGATCCTCAGCACCACATAAAAATAAAATGAAGATATTGTATCCTCCTAAAACTAAAATATATGTATATATTGTTTTAAAAGAAGGTGGATTCTCCAGTGTTGAATGCAAAAACTTTTATATATGTATAGATTCTTTGTTTTATATATATATAGTATATATACACACACATACACACACACACACACACAAACACACCACACACCTATATATGTGTGTATGTATATATAAACACACACATGTATATACACATTTATATATATATATATATGTATTTTGTGCATACATTGATTTATATGTGTATTTTTTTCTTTATATAAAGCTTATTAGTTGTATTGTTCTTCAGTGGGTTTTTTTTACTCCACAGAATATCGATTATTGAAGGAGTTATATTAAAACCTCTCCCTATAATCACTGACTTACTTATTTTTATTATGGTTCTGATTTTTCTTTATATAYTTTAAAGTAAACAAATTTACACTTGTGATATATTCCCAAACTCTCTATTATTAAACAATGAACCTCTTTGTCACTAGTAATGCCATTTGCCAGCTACGAAGAAAACTGTRCCAGTATTTTGTTAGGGGATATAGGAGTTTGTATTTGCCTAGAATATCTTTTCCCACCTTTTACTTTCAAACTTTGTTTCCTTCTGTTTTAAACATATCTAGTTAAGAAGCACATCTCTGGATTTTGTTGTTTTTTTTTTGCTTTCCTTTATTTCTGAGTGTTTTTTTAAATCTAGTCTGACAATCTTCATCTTTTTAAAGAATCCATTTATTCTGATGGCAATTACTAACATTTTTATCTATTTCTTCCATCTCTTTTGCGTTTTCATCTCATTTTTTCCCACATTTTATCTTTACCTTTAGTGACGAAATTTCTAACAAATGAAGCTCATCTTATTTTAATGAAGGGAAGGAATTATAATTTCTTACCAACCCTATTTTGCAGAGAATRATAAATTAAGATTCAATGGGAAACACTTTCCTAATGTTAGAAAGCTGATTAATGACAAAGCCAAGGGCCAAACATGAGTAACACAGCATCTGGTACTCTCCCACTACTTCACTGGTCCTTAACCAGGACTACAGTAGAAAGATTTGACATCTTACTACAGACTGTCTGCAAAGCACTTCAAAGTAAGGTGAAAGACAAGTGCTAAGCTACTCATTTGCACAAGGGAAAYCTAAGACTTAAAGACATTTATAGTATCTATGAGCAGAGAAACTCTGTATTATAAATAAAAGCCTTAAATTTCTAGAAATTCTGAAGTTCTGGGGRAAAAAAGAAACTAAACAGATGTTTATAAGGGAAAAATATGAAAAAACAATATAATAATAAATACACTATTTATTATTARTTTTGCTCAGAAAGTTGCATGAAATTTAAATATATTCAGATCTGACAGCATTTTATATTTTAGTTTTTGCCACTTTAGAAGATGGAAACAAACACTTGAGTACAAAAAAGTAATTGATATTATATTTAACTTTAAGAAAATTGGCATGCTGTTGGGATTTCTGATTTTCCAGAATGAGAAGCCAGCCTAGAAAGTAACAATTTTCAAGAAAGAGCTGAAAAAAAGTCCAGGGCACATCTGTAATCACATGGCACCTGTTCCTCAGTCTCCCTTTCTGGTCTCCCTCCCAGAAGCTGCTTCTGATCCTCRGTTTCATCACCTTCATGAACCTCTGAGAATCAAACATGCTTCCTGAGTTGAATTTTAAGTCAGTTTGCTTGTGTTTTGTTTTCACCTTACAGATTTTGAAGCACAGACTCATTTTTATTTTTACATTAAAAATTGAGATTAGGTAAGAAGCAAGTCTCAGAGGATCCTGGGCAAAAGTCAGACTCCTGGTATGATAGAGCAATCTTCTGGTACCTCAGGACTAAGAAAAGGGTCACAATTCTGCCTCCTGTGAARGCACTTCATTATTATTAACACATATTATTTGTACACATTTATGGGCTTTACTGTGACATTTCTATATGGTGCCTTGACCATGACCATCCTCCTTCCCTCCACCCTTTCTTGCCCTATTCCCCCTTCCCTAATAGTCTCTGTTATGCTTACGTAGTACTTCTCAAATACCGATTTTAAAGAATCCCTTTTTCTGTAATTCAGGCCAAGGTGAGAACAAAATGCTACTGGAATTCTGATCTRAAACATCCACAATAGCACACCTTACTTGACACTAAAATTATGCTCACATCTTAATGAAATCATTCACTTGCTTTTAAACTTGTAAGTGAAACCATGTAGAGTCTCCCCATCAGGTGGCTCTTTACAAGATCATTTGATCAGCAATGATCTTAGAGAACACTACCTGAAGTTAGTTTCACCCTCTTGTTCAATGCCTTAAAAAAAATAACTTGGAGGAAATACATTCAGGATGAGAATATAAGACACCTTTATCTTAAAGGTCAATACCTGTGTCTCTTGATTCTGAGCTCAGAACTCCACAAAAAGCTAAGCAGAAAGAGGCTTAAAAGGAAATGACGCACATACCTTCCTTACAAGCAGTGTGGCCATTTGAGACACTACCATATGGCCAAGGAAGAGCCACACCAGTCTCTGCTTCGCCCATTCCATCCAGAAGCTCCACTCAAAATCGGTTGGGTCCTAAACAGGTTGAAAGAGGAGTTGATACTATCAGAGAGATTTTAGCACATGTCTGAGTCAGAACGTAAGTTTCAGTGAATAACACAACTTCAAAGAAGATCAATTTGAGCCTAAATCTGTAAAATAGTATTTATCTACTTTTAACCATTCCCCACGCAATGACCCTCCACCCATCCTAAACTATTCCCTCCAGACTGGCTGGTCTTGGGGCCAATCTCCAAATAAACCTTACATTTTCTGTATAATTCAGTATCTTTTGCTAAAGTTGGCCCCTTGGGATTCTCTATGGGATAGAAGCTATTACCATCCCCRGTTTGTAAAAGATGAAACAGGCTTAAGGACATCAATTCATTTACTGAAGGTCACAAAGATAGTACAAGTAATGAATTGAGGCTGTCTCTGTTTAGACACCAAGACGCCTCCTTTAACAACAGAATGTAAATTGGACACTAATAAAAGCACTTACGGTCTGTCATGTTAAATCTTGCTGTCATTTACAGGCAGCAGGGTAACTGAATAGAGAAATTAGCCAATTTTAAATAAACTGAAAGAAAGAATGAGAGATCCACTTCCCTTCCCCTGGAGAAGTTCTGCATCAATGGAGGGCTCCGTGTCTGCTTCTGTACCAGGTCCCATATCTCTATGATGCACCCTGGCAGGGGCAGATGGAAACTTCCGACAGCAACAGACACGAGGACGCCTGGGAGCCAGCATCTAAAAGCCATAGCCCTCAGGAGCCCCAGGGGAAATCATGGTGGCCAAGTTGAGCATGGAGAAAACAAACACAGCTATCGGCCACCCTCTAAGGGCAGGGCAGGCTTGGCCACCGAGCAGCACCATCATGATGGAGTCAGAATCTTCTAGCCAAATTGTKTGGGTGGGGAAGGAATGTTCCAATGACTACTGATATTAAACGCTTTTTTTATGGATCTCTGTAAATGGATCTTGGAGCGCCACTTAATTGGATTTAGCAGTGAAAACTATTTTTGCACCTGAAAATAAAGAAGTAATTGTATACCAGTTATATATGTTATAAAAGTTCTATTTTCTAGAAAAAAACTATCTTGATTCATATCAGATATGAATGCTAAGGGAACAAACCTCAAAGACTTAGCCTAGGACCCCAAATCTACCCTCACATTTGTTGTGATGACCTTGAGACATAACCTTTCWGTTCTGTTTCTTCACATGACAATAGCATTTATTGGTATTTATGAGATTTAAATAAGAACATATTCAAAAAGAAATGTTACCTGCTATTCCCTTATAGTCCCATGAGTGCCCCATCCAGATTTTTTAATTTTTTTCATTGTTGATAGATTTCTTTTTTTATTTGTTTATATGTAGTGCTGAGGATCGAACCCAGTGCCTCACACGTGCCAGGTAAGTGCACTACCACTGAGCCACAGCCACAGCCCCYGCCCCATCCATTTTAACCACCAGCCAAGACTATACCATATTTACTTTTTGCCTCTTGTTTTAAAAAAATAGGTTTTTCCTATTTTTCCAAATAAAGAAATATGATTCTGTGTGTTCTCTAATAATGCATGCTCCCCACACCCCCAAGGTGCTAATACACACACAACCTCCTCGGAGAATCCTTGTCCCCTGCTGAAAATCATGGAGCTAGTAGAATTCCTTCTATTTAGAGACAGCAMCACATAGCCAGGCAGCAGAGCAGAAAACTCAAACCATTAACCTGGCTCTCCATTCCTGATCCAGAACTACTGCCCCATCTCTAAATTTCCAAATTAGCTAAAGGTAAGCAAATTTAAAGTTCATGTGATAAGGCCATGCTGGTAAATACCACTCTCGTAACAGGGATAAAGGCCAAAAGACACCAAAAACCAAAATGAGTGTTTTTATTATACCATTCAAAAAAGACTCTGACATTTTAGCTTTATAAGTGGCACACATTCTCCCAGCTGCTCGGGAGAATGAGGCAGGACAATTGCAAGTTCAAAACCAGCCTCAACAATAGTGAGACACTAAATAACTCAGTAAGACCCTGTCTCTAAATAAAATAMAAAATAAGACTGGGGATGTGGCTCAGTGGTTAACTGTGCCCCTCAGTTCAATCCCCAGTACCAAAAAATAGAAATAACTTTATATGTATATATGTGTATATATAGATATATACATACACACACACACACACACACACACACATATAATGTTTTTGAACACTAAGAAATTTCATTTAGTATTCATGACCCCAGTCTTAACTATACTTCAAAACTTTTCCAAGTTTAAGTTTTTAGGAGGTGAAATGATATAAGCAACAACAACCAAAAAAAAAAAACAAAAAAAAACTTTGTTCCATTAGAAAGCCAGAACTACTGAAAATTCTGTGCTAATAAAAATCCCATCAACAAAAATTATATAGTCTTTCCCTAATTCTTTCAGAAAATATTCATTTAAAAGAAAAATGACTTTCCTGGCATCCCCAATAAATATTTTTGAGAACCCCCCAAAAGAGAAAAACATATATATGTGTGTGTGTGTATATATATATATATATTGGTATGACCAAAGATCTACCACCCAGAGGGTGCCTCATTAAYACCCCCTAAACCCAAAGCCAGCCCAGCAACCTATACAAAAAAGTACTCAATAAACAGTACAATTCAATACTTAAATCTACATCACAGATGCCCGACATTCAGTAGGCCTTTAAAGTGGTCAGGGGTGTGGAAGGAGCAGAGAAGTCAGGCAGCCCAAGACCTCCTCGTATTTCTGCCCTTGTTTGAACATGAACAAGCCACCTACTACRTGGGCCTGAGTCTCCTTGTTGGTACCATAAAGAGCTGAACTAACACAGTGTCTAAGATTCCTCTCGGAGGGTGGAAGAAACAGTTACTTTCTAGGACAGAAGCCCTGGAGAGCACTGGTCACCCACCCTCCCATGGGCTGATCTGGCTGAGAAGGGATGATCTCCCATCTCCCATCCCACATGACCAGGGAAAAAGGTTAAAAGAAAACGTTCTTGGCAAATGAGGACTTAGACTATCAACTCACTGCTGATAAAAATCCTTCCACTTTCCTGCATGAATTTTCATTACCCTTAAACCTGGCCAGATCCTAACGCCAGCATCCTGGTCTCTTGGTGGGGTATACACTGTCATCACGGGGGGGGGGGGGGGGGGGGGGGGGGGGGGCGTGTTGGACCTGATTTCTGTGCTTTGTCTTGCATTCCCCCATACAATCCTGAAGCAAGCCACAGGCCTGAAGTCTATCTTCTGGCTGCAGACGACAAATGTGGCTAAAAAGTCCAGGTCAATAGACTAAAATATTGTTAAATTGCCAAGCGCCAAGCACAATCTCAAAGCACGGAGCAAGATGTCACAAAAAAAGAAGAGAAATTCGCCCTCAGCCATATCATTCACACCAAATTGTCACTCAGTCCATGAATTATCTTCCATTTGCCAGTGAGTATGGTCAGGAGCATTCTTTTACTACACGTATGGATGGCATAACTTCCCATTGGCTCAGATGTCCACAGCTACAAAGGAGGCAGCTTCCAGAGAAGCCATGGAAGAGTCTCAGCAACAGCACATCAATTAGTCATTGTTATCCAGGAAAAACTGGGAGTCACTGTGAATCTCATTCCTGCCTTTGCTCTGTGCAGGACCTACTGTAGTCCTGGGATCTGTTCTCTACCAGTTCAGGTTTATTCCGTGCATTCTGTACCCTCTGCATAACACCACAATAATAAGTTGAAGACCCTACCTCATCTTGTCACTCCTACCACCAGATATTCTTCAGGCTTCTCCTAAGCATTCCAGAGAAGCCTTTTCAATGAGACTCCTGGCAGTTCTTCGTAACCTAGACCATCTACCCCACTACCATCCTACCTGTCCTGTCCCCCTCATCTCACATTACAACATACTAACCGTTACCCAAAAGTGCCATGTCCATATGGTTGGGCCTTCTTCCTCTGTTTGGGGAAATTATCACCCAAACATCCTRTTAATGACAGCCTACCATACAGGTCTTAGCTTAGGCAGAAGCCTTCTCCTAAGCCACCTGTTCCCACTCTGGATTCAGTGTCCCTCACCAGGACCTTCATCCAGACAGTCTCCCACATTGCACTGTGGTTGCAGGCCACTAGACTACAAGCTTCTCTTTTGACACTTAGCATTGTCTGCCCCAGTAAATAAACAAACTAGACACTTGAGGAAAGTGTGTTGAAAAGATTAACTGACTACACACTATTATACATGGTTCAAATCATTGTTAAGAACCTGGCATAAGCACTGACTATTGAGAAAGGGGAAGAAGAGTTACAAAAGGTAGAGAATCTGGTACCTGCCCTTGAATGCCATTATAAACACAGGCAGCAAGCATAAGAAACTCACAGAATATTTGTGGTAGATGATCTGTTCTGCCTATTACCTGCACGAATCAAGGCCTACTTTCTAATACATCACTCACTCATTTTAGAGACAAGGAAAAAAAAAAAGTACTATTACAACAGATGATCCATCATGGTTCAATTATAAGAATTAAATAAATTAAATATAGAAAACACTTGGAATAATGTCTGGCATTTATTAAATACTATAGACATGTTCATTAAGTAAATATGTAAACAAAGAAACTCTATTTTACTTTGATAGCCCCAGAAACAATAAATCCAACAGTTTCCAAGACGCACATACTCAAACCCATGGAGACACCTATGGGTGAAATATAAGAGAGTAGAGCTGTTCAAGCTCCCAACTCCAACCAAAAGAAAGGGCAGAATCCATATTCAGAGAAGCTGTGACTTCCAAAATGCCATGGGAAAGCAACCATGTTAATCTTTTCCTCAAAAGAAGATTCCTGTTCTCTATGGCAGACGCTGCTGTTGGACTCAATCATCATAGCTCCTCTAGCATGACTTCCTACACAATAGAGGTGAGGTTCAGAACTACATATCCCAGAATTCCTTGTGGCTGGCATGTCTGCAAATGGCCTAGCTTCAGAGGAAACAATTCACTGTGACTTTGAAGGTAAAA